ATCTCAAAATGCCATTTTAATTAAATATCATAATAAAATGTGCGATTAAATCGATTTTAAAACTTGGTTTCCTTAACTAAAAACACTTTTATTTACCTGTTATTGGTAGTATCTATTCTTACCTATGAAATCTCAACCAAGTAATTCTCTTTGGCTAAGGATAGTTGTTTGATTTGAGACTATGCCGTTCCATAAAAATAAAATAACATTAATGAAGTTAATTTCAACATAATAATAATAATAATAATAATAATAATAATAATAATATTAATAAGAAAAAAGGGACGTTATAACTCTTTTAAAGTTCTGATGAGATATTAATAAAACATTCTTTTAGTCTTTATTTTTGAAAGAGAAAAATGTCTTAAATTATCTGAATTTTAATTGAAATTGTTGTAATATCGAACTCTAGAAAATATTTTTTATTCTTGCACTATTTAATAATGTATTTTAAATAGTACATATGAGTGATTAAAAAGTCTTTCATAAAATTTGGTATAATAACATCAATTTTTATCAAAATTCAAATATTTTTCGAACCTTTTTCTTTTTAAAAAAATCTAACTTTAAAAGGTTTCAGCCTCTTAATTTTTAAAAGGGATAATTATATATAATAACAACTAATAACATAAAATAAATGGAGTAGCTACGGTTTAATTTAATTGTGCTCCATAGCAAATGTTAGCCAAAGTTTGTCAGTCTCCTCTCTCCCAAAAATCTCGCTCGCCACTCTCCCATTCCGCTCACCACTCTCCCTCACTCGCCTATCTCGCTTTATACGCAGAAGTGTATAAATTGTGTTTCTGTTTTGTATAAAGCGAGAGAAAATTGTATATACACATGCAAAAATATATATCTTCGTGCTATACACTTAATTATACAATTTACAAACATTTTACTTCAATTCAATTGTAGACAAATGCAAATTTTATACAAATATTGCAGTGAAAAAGGTCAACGAATTATACAATTGCGAATTATACAATTGCAGTGAAATACAATTTTCTCTCGCTTTATACAACAGAAGTGTATATATTGTGTTTCTGTTTTTGTATAAAGCGAGAGAAAAACATATATCTTCTTCATATACACTAATAATTATGCAATATACATACATTTTACTTCGATTCAATTGTACGCAAAACAAATTTTATACAAATATTACAGCGAAATAGGCAGCAAATTATACAATTGTACATTATAAAATTACAATGAAATAGAATAGCGAATTATATAATTACAGCGAAATAGGCCAGCGATATTATACAATTCAGGCCAGTGAATTATACAATTATATATGTATAGCAAATTATACAATTTTATGTTTGCTGTGGAGCACAATTATGCAAATTTTGCTATAACATATAAATATAAATTTTTTATTTACTATACGTGAAAGTTGTCATTTTAAAATACCTTTCAATACTTTTTCAATTGAACTCGTCGAAAAATATATTAAACAAAGTTTATCTTGTCCATATTTGAAAAACCGTCTACGAGTTCCTTGTTACGAGAAATAAATAATAATAATAATAATAATAATAATAATAGAAGTTATTAATTATACGGTTAAATTTGTCATCTTTCAGTTCTCTAATTAAAATTAAAAATAAATAAAAAGCATCAAAAGCCAGCAAGTTATATTTAGATGCTTCAAATCTTGAACTCATCTTTATTTGTCACTTTTTAGTTTTTACATTATTTTTTTAAAAAAATTATATTATATTTAAAAATAATCTAGAAAAATATTTTCTATTTAATTATTATTTTTCTTTATGTCTCTGTCTATGGTTTGTGGATAAGAACCTTTTGCCTATAATTTTTTTTATATAAATAAATTCCATATTGCATGACGCAATTCTATGAGATAATGAACTCAAAATACTCCATTTTTTCATTCAACTTTTGGACTGTTTATCTGTTTGAACATACGAGACAATCCTCACCTTGTGACCTATTGCAACGGATTCAGAAATTAAAATTATTGAATCATAATATTTATATATACGATCAATTTTTTACATACATATATATAAAATTTATATAGTTCAAACCAATAATGAGTTTAACCCTTTCGTTATATTGTATAATATAAGGTAAAACAATGTCATCTTATTTATATAATATATTTTTTCAATGAAGTAAGTACAATAATAAATTTTATCTATTAAATCGCGATGATCATATTTATTGAATCAAATGTTATCCAGTTCATTTCTTAATTTAATTTTTAATGTTGAGTTAAATCAAACTTAGATTTTCTCATCCCCCACCAAGCAAACTTAGCCAATATAGAAAAATTAATTAATTGCTTGTTCTAATAGGATTCCTCCATTGATTCTCATTTAATAACATTTTGTTGTTTTATGCATGAGTTTTAGTTTCATGTCTCATTCTTTTGACTTGAATATAGTACCAGATACCTTTTTTCTTTATTCAACAAAAAGAAAATTGGACTATTCAAAAGAAATAATTCACATAATTGCAAAGCCAACGTGAAACATAACCAACAACAAAAATTAAAAAATGCAATACATATGTGTGGATTAATTTTTTTTTTCTTGGTTTCCGATTCACAGGGTATGGTATTTGATTTAGGATATGACTAATTTGAATTTGTGTATTATTCTAGTCGATTACATCAGTTTTAATTGTATAAAATATAGAATTATACATAAATTAAAATTCAGTAATCTAGTTTTAGTATAACACTAACTTTGTTGAACATGTTCCGTCAGCTTCTTTCAACAAGCACAACTAGGCTTAGATTGATTGATGATTGTTTAGTCTTTGTAGTTTCCTCATCAATCTATTTCAAATGTTCATATGACATAAACGTGTAGTTTACAACCTAAATTGAGAAAGTTTAATTCTAAAAAATTCTTTGCAGCGAGGAAATACAGAATTGCGTTAGATTAAGAGTTAAAACATTTCATGTTTAAGGAATATATAAAATGTTAATATCTTTGAAAAATTTCATCGGTCTTCATATGTATGCGCAAGTGGTATCTATTTTTTACAATATTATTATCTTCGTTTTGTATATTTGCACCATAAGCTTTATACCTAATAAAATATTAATCGTTGAATAATCAATTTGTAAAGATTGATCGAAGTCTTTCAAATCTCTATTGCTTCAACTTAAGTATAACGTGTTTGTATTTGACTCTGTCGATGAATTTTGTGATACATTTATTATTGTCTTCAATAAATAGATTTACTTATAAAATTGTTTTCTAACTTCACAACAATAAAAACAATCAAGAAATCAACTTTATTTCTATATATAATAACAATTATCGTAATGTTATATTTTAAATATTGAAAGTATTTATCACAAAAATAATTTTGCCTCCACAAAAACAAAAAAAATCATGAAAGAAACTTTATTTCTGTATAAAATAATAATTATCGTAATGTTATATTCTAAATTACATTAATTAATTTCATTTGATACTACACTTAATATCATGCCGCAAAGAAAACTCTAAAGCTTAACCCCCTACCCCCCCCCCCCACACAAAATAACCTATATACTTTTTTTCAGCTTTTTTTTTCTAATTTATTTTTATTTTTTAGTATTTTTCTTCCTCAATATTTCTAAACAAAGTCTTTTTCTATTGACATTTTCTTTTGTTGTTCTTTTTTATTTTTTAACTAATCATTTTCTTTGGTTTGAATTTCGATATTCATTAGTATATGAATGTTAAACGTTGATATTGTCAAATTTTCTCTGTTAAATAGTATCATATATAATATTATGAAAATATAAAAATAAGATTTTATATTTAACAATCTTTCGATGAATACATTATCAAATTATTGCTTAACTAATAATCAAACATTGTTCATTCTTTTAGTCACAAAATTTGATATTTTCTTTAAATTATTTAAAAACTACTGATACGTCATTTTAAAGACTATTTTACTAATCAAAATGCGAATTTAGTGGTCATATTATGTAACATAATATTAAATGTATGTTTGCGCAATATTCCTTAAAAGTATTTATTGGAACAAAATATTAACTATTCAGACACATTTTATTTAAATTAATTCAATTTTTTTTTTCTAAAATATGTCAAAAAACATTTATTATTGTTTGCAAGAAGTTAAATAAGTAATATCCCTATGGGCCCATAACAAAAGTTAAGACATGTATGAATTCTTCTAAATTTTTATTTTGATCATTAATTATACAATTATTATTTTACTCTTAAAAAATATTAAAATTACTAAAATATCATTAGTCGTCCTTCTCATGGCTCTTCTATATAATAGAAATATATATTTGCGATATACACAGATGTTTGGGAGCAAAAATGGGCCAAAAGCCCAAATCTTCTTGTGCAACAGTACTAAAACGACTAAGTAGCAACAGCCCATGTGTGGACCAAGGGTCCAACAGATTTGGCCCGAATTTGGGCATTTTCTTGGTTCTTGCTATTATTTACAAATGTAGTTGCGCTTCGCACGAGTGTTTGAAATATGAATGTTAAAATTATTTTTTTTCCGATTAATTATGTGTTTACTATAGTATATTGTTTGATCTTATTATTATCTCTTAATTTAATTGTAGGGAGAAGTATGAAAGGTATTCCTCAATTTTGTTTAATAGTTGACTTTAAGCATCAATTATATAATCTGGTCATTTATACCGACCATCATCTACAAACTTGTGATATATACTCTTCAATTGGATATTTTTGTCTTTTTCTTACCCCAATAAACCTAAAACGTTTTTCATGTAGAGTCCTAATTAACTATACTTAGAGTCATACTACAATGCCTATCCTAAGCGAAAAAAAAAAAAACTACATTACCTATTACTACTACTACTAATATAATAATAATAATAATAATAATAATAATAATTTTAAAAAAATAATTTATTCCTTGTTGTACTATAATCCTAATTATAATATAATTCTAGACGAAATATAATCTTAATAAATATAACTAGTCTAGTCCTAATGCAACTCTAATTCTAACAACTTCCTACTTCTTTAACATTTCAGACTCAAGTTAAGGGTCAAAACAGAATTAGACCACTTTTCCATATTCCGAAACGTTTAGAATTTTAGGGTGAAGTTTCAAGAAGAGGAGAAGCGGGTTTCCAAGCATTCATTCAAGGGTTAGAAATTTCGCCAAGAACAAGTGTTCTTTCAAGGTATGTAAGCTTCTCATAGGTACATGTAATTTTATTCACGAATTCGTTCTTAAACGGTTCGTATTGAGATTAGGGGTTATTTTGTTAAAAGAAATATTGTTTCTACTCCCACTTTAAATCTGGAAGAATCTGTTGAATTTTGAAAGACATCACTAGTTATATTATTCTTTGTCAGGGGCGGAGCCACATGTATATAGTTATATTATTTATATATGGTTAAAATTATCTCTTATATCCTTAACTTCTTTGTTTACTTTTCTCATATTATAATCTCTTTCAATGAAAATTCTGATTTTTGCCTAAGTAACGTAGAAAACTTAATATACCGGTAGGTAGTTTTATTATATCACGAATAAATAAGGCTGCATGGTTGAAATATATTTGCACTATTATTAGTTGTTTGGTCAAATCTTCTCTCTAAGAGAGAATCAAATCAGATAAAGGAGTACTAAATAGAAAAGGAGTACTAAATAGAAAATTTTTCTTTTATTAATTTTAGTACTCCTTTTCTTCTTTTTTTTTCCCATTAATTTTTAGGTACTCCTTTTTCTTTTTTCCATCATCCAGAATTGTTAGTCACTAGATTTGTTCCCTGTAAAATCAAAATCATTCAGTTTTTTTCATATGCATTAGAAAGTATATTTAGTAATTTGAATTAAATATAACCGTGTTTTTATTTTTCCCTTTCCGAATTAATTTCAGATCGCTAAGTTGAGTTGATTTAGGCTACGTTGAGCTTATTTTCTACTTTCGATTCGTTTCAGATGTCGAACCGCAACAAGAAATTGAAATATTGTCGTCCCGACTGGTATGGAGAATACCGTAATTCTGACTGTAATCCAAATGTATGGAATGCAAAGGTCACAATTCGTCAAGAATTAAGTATCAATAACCCTATTGCTCATTCACCTTGTAATTTACCCACATTATACCTCAAATTTCACTTTGATACATTGTTTACTGGACAACAAGAGCGAGTTCAGAGCAGATCACTCAATATCAAACTTTTCCATTCAGCTACATACATGTCACGCGAAAAGTTCTACCGTGTCATAGAAGATAATATCTACGAAAAATGGGGTGAAATGTTTGATAAGGACGATCGTCAAGATTTCATTGATAATATATTTGAAGAAATCCATGAAATTATTGGGGAAAAGTTTAACAAGGGTCGCCAACGCTTGGTTGTGAGTATTCGTACGAATTTATTCGTGTCAGACATAATGAAGTTGGTATGGAAGATGAAGACTGATGAAAATCTCATGAATGATGATTGTATTATTTGTTTCCAAGAGTTTGAAAAGGGGGGGCAGGAGGTGTTGTGTATGCCGTGCTCACATGTGTTTCATGCAGATTGCATTGCAATGTGGTTACAGAACGGGCATTGTTGCCCTGTTTGTCGTTATGATTTTCGAGAGTGACATAAGTATAGAATTTGACGTTCATAAATTTGGTATTTCTTATCTATATATTTGAAGACTTATTTTTTTTTAATTATTATTACTATTATTATTATTACTACTATTATTGTTGTTTTCAATAATTTACTGATATGTGGTTAATTGTGTTTCGATTGTCGTAGGCTTTGCAATGTTTCCTTCTTACCTGCTACATTTTAATTTCTTTCACTGTCTCCTTCTTCTTTCTATCTGAACTTATTGCACTTAACGGCGAAAATATGTTATTTCGAAAACAAATTCTCTACCTACCTCCTTTAAGGTAAGGTAGCTTAACAAAACATGTCTTAATTTGGCAAAGAAGTAACATGTGCCAGAGAGAAGATCTACAATGTTAGCTTTACAAAAAGATGTGTGGAAGTGCTTGTTTTTTTACGTCCACACAATAAGTTCATGTGTTAAATTCATTGTCTTTTTCTTAACCAATATATATAGTCTAACTAATTATACATATAATAAGATATCAAATTTTTTTCCCTCCATACTAAAGGACTAACACCTCTATGAGTTTTGTTGTAAGATCAAGTGTTGTTACCACCAATTGTCTAAGCGATTTCTTACAAGATTACTATGGAGTCTTGTATTGTTTTAACAACTACACTCTTGCTATGAGAAACTTCTTTCTTGTGTTGTTTTGTGTTATATTTGATGACCCCAATTCATTCCTTTTATAGGACAAGGTGAAGACTTGTAACTCTTATTCATTCAAGAGTTACATCATCCCTTATCCTATAACTAACTTCATTCATAACTCTTATGTCTTACTATTGGGAGTTATTTAGTGGAGTTATAAATTACTTGGTGTATCTAATTTCAACAATTTTCGATATTCACCATCGTTGATGCTCATGGCTGCAAATTCTTCCAAATCAACCAAACTAGTTAATCCTTCAATTTTAACTAGTTTAAAAATAATAATACTAGTATATATTTCGAAAAAATAGAAGATAAAGAGTATTATAATTTCAAATTACCTTACTCTTTTTTTGAATTACCCCAAACTTTTTTAACTTATTTTTTTAAAAATCCTCCTCCATCTAGTTTCATTCATTTTTATGGGAAAATTGTATATAATAGAAAACTAATAACTTAAAATAAATGGAGTAGCTAGGGTTTGATTTAATTGTGCTCCATAGCAAACGTTTGCAAAAAATTGCCAGGCGCCTCTCTCCCAAATCTCGCTCGCCACCCTCGCTTTTCTCACTAATACAAACAGAAGCGAAATGTATAAATTGTGTTTCTGTTTGTATAAAGCGTGAGAAAATTGTACATACACATGCAAGTACATATATTTTCGTCCTATACACTTATAATTATACAATAAAAGTACTCCCCTGCCCAATTTTTTTTGCCTTTATCTCTTTCTCGTTTTATACAATTTTCAAATTGTATCTAATTTCTCTCTTTCTCGTTATACAATTCGATTTAATTGTATATTCCTTGTCAAGTCTCTTTTGTCTTTCTCTCTTTCTCATTTTATACAAATTCAAATTGAATATAATCGTTCTATACACTTATAATAATACAATTCGTTTTATACACTTCGTTTTTATACAGTTCTCTGCCCAAGTGTCTTTCTCTTTCTTGTTTTATACACTTTGTTTTATACAATTTGCTTCAACTGTATATGTATAGCGAATTATACAGTTTTTATGTTCGCTATAGAGCGCAATTATGCAAACTTTGTTATAGCATACAAATATGAATTATTTATTTGCTATATGTGAAAGTTACCCTCTTTTTATTCTATTTTTTTTAATTCTTCTTGCATGATTTTTCTTAAAAAAAGAAGAAGAATAAGAAGAAAAGGTAAATTAACAATACACGTTTCCTATCTTTTGTTTTTGTTTTGTTGTTTTTGATTTGTTAATATTATTATTATTGTTTGTTTATTTATTTTATTTTATTTCTTTATCTTAATCCTAATTTTCTCAACTAAATTCTAAATTGAATTATATCCCACTGCATCACGTTTCTTTTAATTAGCATCAAACTCATATTCAAAACTAATATAAATACACTCTCATTAAAGAGAAAAGGACAAACACAGTGAGATACAAATAAATACAGAAAATCAAGAAATACGATAACAAAAAGCAAAAGAAGAAAAAGTGTGTTTTCTTTCGCGAATTAAGTCTAGAATTTGAGGTTTTGTTCATGGTTTCAAGTTCGTGATCTTATAATTAATACATAGTTATTAATTTTGGAAATCAGTAGATCGTAGCAATTATTTTGTGAAATTAATTTTTACAAAGAGATAATTCTAAATTTTTGCATGATTTAAATGGAATGCTTGTACGAGAATTTAATTCCAATAATATGAAGTTCTTCAAATCGCACATTAATATGTAATATCAGTTTGTGATGTATATTATACATATTTTATGTTTTTTATTATTAGTATCATCATCTTATACTCATACAATTTATATTGAGATCGATTACGTGATATGTAATTGCTAAATTTAAATAATTAATGTGTCTTGGAGTCTAGTTTCACTTTAAAAAATCATATTAAATTTATTTATATACTTGTTAGATTAGAATATATTTAAAAAAAATTATTAATTAATTATTAGAAAAGTTTATCCAATTAAAATTATTAATTAAGAGGAAAAATAAATTCCATCTAGAGATTATTATTATTATTATTATTAATAATATTATTATTATTAAATAATATTAATAATAATAATAATAATAATAAATAAAAAGAAGAAGAAGAACAACAACAACAACCAAATAAAGAGTAAAACTAAGAAGGACAAAAAATTGAGAAAAAATAAAATGAAAAGAAGAGAATTAAAAAGTAAATAAAAGAAGAGCATTAACGTGAGTTTAAAAAAAAAAACATAACAAAAAATTATAATAAAAGTGAGCAGAAAAAGAAACAGAACTTTAAAAAAACGTAAAAACATAAAACAAGAAGAGAAATAAAAAGAAAAAAATATAAAATATAATATTTATAAAGCCTGCGAAAAAAAGAGAGGAAAAAACGTTCCAAAAAAGTAAGGAAAGAACGTGCAAAAGAAAGTTTAAGAAGAAAAAAGAAATTGGAAAATAGAAAATATAGAAGAAAAAAGATCTTCCAAAAAATAATCCTAATCTAGATATAATTTCTTGCTAAAACTAATATTAAATTTCATAACATTTTTATTTCCTATTTTTAATTTAACTAAAAATATAACCCTATAATTATGCAAACTCTAACAATCTAATTCCTACATAAGTCATAATCCCTAACAATTAAATATATTCATATATTTTATTTATAATTAAAATTACAAATACACGCAAAAATAATTTTAAAAAAGGAAAAAGAAAATACGAATTTTAAAGTTTTAAAATAATGGACACACATAGAAAAATGAGACGATATATTTTTAAAAATTAAAATAAATAAGACAATTTTAAATAAGTTTAAAATAAATCTAATGGTAAATAACATTTTCTTATTAAGCTATATAGTGTAATATCTAAAAATTAAGTCAAGTCATATTTAAATTAATAAAGCGACCGTGCTAGAACCACAGGACTCGAGGGGTGCCTAATACCTTCCATCAGTCAACATAATTTCTTATTCGATCTTTATTTTCGCAGACTAAATAAAATAAAGAATCAAAATCTTTTTTGATTATGAATTCAAATAAGGTGACTTGAAACACCAAAACTCAATTTCGAGTGTCTACTCTAAATAATAAAATAATCACTTTTTCAAAATGTCACTTAAATTGAAAAAACTCTTTCTTTCAAAATACATTAATTTTGAGGAAAAATATGCAGGAAGAAGGCCAAAATATGTCCTGTATACAGCAGTATAGATCAAATGTATAGCGAGATTTTTGGGATAAATGGGCCAAAGCCCCATTGAAATTAGGAAAAATAACTTAAATACACAACTATAAGTTTAGTATTCTCTAATTTTCCCTTCTTTTTTTAAATATTACATAATTCCCTTTGTTTTAATTTTAGTAGAAGTTTAGAGATACATAGCCTTCTCTCTCCTATAACACACACTTCCCCAATATCATGCCTATTTTTTCTCCACTAAAACACTTTTTGAATTTTGAATTATTAATTTTAATTAAAAACGATTCACAACATTTAATATGAAACTTTGAATTTCAAAATTCAAAAAATTTGAAATTTCTGAAAATTGGACCATTGTTCTCTGGTTCTTCTTCTTCTTCTTCTTACTCCATCATCCGTCTACAGTTCTTCTTCTTCTTCTTAATCCATCATCTGTTCTTATTTTCTTCTTTTTTTCTTCTTGTTCATTACTATATTACATCAGCCGTCTCTAGGTCTTTTTTTTCTTCTTACTCCATCACCCGTTCTTTTTTTTTATTCATTGTTCTATTACATCATATTAATGGATCCTTTTACTAATAGAAGAATTTATGATTCGGACGATGAAAATTGGAAAGAAAATATAAAAAAGTCTTTGCATGATCTTATGAATGTTCGGAAGGATTCAAACAAAGATTTTGGCGAATCATCTAAATCAAAGGTTGACAAAATACACCAAAAAAGAGAAAAGAAGCAGCAACCATTGTTGTTGAAATTAGTGAAAATTTTAGTAAAGGAATCCCATATGTATCATGAATTTTTGAAAATTGTTATTGTTTTATCGAAAAGATGTATTTCGAAAGGAGTTTGTTTTTTAAGATATTTTTGACTTTTTAGGAGTCGCCACTTAATTTTGAGAAAATTAAGAAAACTTGTTTTCAAATAATTAAACAGGAAATCGTTTGAAAACTTTTAAGGGTTCGGGATTCTTATTAGTGTCTTAGGAAGGTGTTGAAGGCACCTAAGACACTCCGTTAAATATGGTTATCCGGCGATTAACAAATTGACTTTTTTATCTTAACGCTTGCGAATCTTTTGTTATTGAACTTATTAGAAAATTACTTAGGCGAATTTACAAGTTTTTGAAACATTCATTGTTTTAAGGTTTAATTTTAATTTTTTAAGTTTGATAAAATAAAAGGCGTTCGATGGGGTTTGGATTCTTCTAATCCTAAACTAACGGCATTT